CTGATTGTGGGTCACCGCTATGAGCAATTGGCTGCTGCATTTCACCCACAAGTATAATCAATTCATTTCACAGTCTATTCTGTGAAGCGCTTTGGGACTTCTAGAAGATGTGAAAAGCGCTATATCAAATGCAAGGATTACTATTATTATTATTACCCTGAAAAACCGCCTCCTGATTTCACTGCTTAATGGATTAGCTCTAATTTTAAGATTATGCTCCCTTGTTCTGGATTCTCCCACCAGAGAATAAAGTTTCTCTGTATGTACCATATCAGATCCCTTTATTATTTTATAAACTTCTATTAGATCAGCCCTCGACCTTCTAAACCCAAGGGAATACGGACCAAACTTACACAACCTGTGCTTGCAATTTAACCCTTTAAGTCCTGATATCATTTTGGTGAATCTGCGCTGCACCCCCTCCAGAGCCAATATATCCTTCCTGAGGTGTGGTGCCCAAATCTGAAAGGCCTAATCTATCCAGTCTATGCTGATAGCAGTAACCTACTAGCCCTGGTATCATCCTCGTAATCTTACACTGTACTCTTTCATCGCTGCTATATTCTTCTCATAGTGTGCAGACCAGAATTCAACAAAATACTCCAAATAATGCCATACACCTGACCGCTTGCTCCCGGTCCCCGCGTGCGCACTATGGCTGCCGCTTTGACCCGAGCCCCCTCACCACCTCCCTCCCGCCCCCCTCCTCTCTCCCCCCAAACCCTCCCCCCTCTGCATCTCTCCCGCTCTCTCCTCCTCTCTCTCCGTCCCTCTCGTCTTCTATCCCCACTTGACCCTCCCACAACCTCCCTCTGTTCCAGCCTGGGAATCCTCCGCCGGGCTCACAGCGGCACTCGGCGTTGGCTGTCCAGCAGCAGCCACACCGACTGCCCCATTCCCCACCACACTCGCCACCCACCCCGGACACAGACCCGGGGAGTCAACCTCTCCTCCCTCATCCCCATTCCCCCCACCCCTGCCTCACAACCTGGACCCCCCTCCCCTCCCACACACCCTTCTGTCAACCGCTCCCTCCACATCGGACTGCAAAATGTCCGCTCCCTCTGCAACAAGGCCCTGGTCATCAACGATCTCATCCTTGATGAGAACGTTGATATCATGGCCTTAACAGAAACCTGGCTCACCCCAGGCGACACCTTCCCCCTCACGGAGGCCACGCCACCCGGCTACACCTCCCACCACATCCCCCGCCCCAACCGCCGTGGCGGTGGTGTTGCCCTTATCTCAAGGACACCACTTGCCCTATCCCCTTACTCCACTGGCTCTTTCCCCTCCTTTGAGCACCTCACCCTCTCCCACCCCTCATTCCTCTCCCTTAAAATCCTCCTCCTCTACCGGCCCCCTAAAACCTCTCCCACCTTCATCTCTGACATTTCAACACTCCTCACATCTCTTTGCCTCTGCTCTGATCGCCTCATCATCCTGGGCGACTTTAACCTACACTTCACCCCCTCCTGCTCCATCTCCACAGACTTCTCTTCCCTGCTCTCCTCACTCAACCTCTCCTTACACATAAACTCCCCCACTCACAGTCACGGCCACCCACTCGATTTGGTGATCACCCGGGGCCTCAGTGTCTCGGATGTCACTATTACCGACAAGGCCATCTCTGACCACTACTTCATCTCCTTCACCACCTCCACCCCCCTCCCCACCTCCACCAGACCCACCACCATCTTCTACCGCCCTTGGAAGAAGTTACCCCCACAATCCCTAACCGATGCCTTGGAGTCCTCTGAACTCCTCTCCCTCTGGCCTTCAACCCTCACCGACCCCTCTTCTCCTCTCTCCCTCCTCCACAATATCCTCTCCTCCACACTCGATACTCTTGCCCCCATCACTTCCCGCACTGTCTCCTACTCCCGCTCCTCCCCCTGGTACACCACCCACCTCCGCTCACTGAAAAGCCAGGTGCGGGCTGCTGAACGCACCTGTGTCAAATCTGGCCTAACGGTCCACCGACAAATCTGGCTGGACCTCCTCAAAATTTACCGCTCCACTCTAGCCTCGGCCAAGTCGTCCTTCTACTCCAGGATAATCCTGGAGGCGAAGAACAACCCCAGGCTACTGTTTTCCACCACAACCCGACTCCTCCGTCCCCCCCGCCACCCCGCGCAGGTCATCTCCTCCAACCTTCACTGCGAGGAGATGCTGGATTTCCTTGAATCCAAGATCAAGGGAATCCGCTCCGCGGTCACTTCCCCTCCAACTTCCACCCACCACCCACCCCTTCCCTCCCACACTCCGACTCCTACCCATCCTCCCCTACACACCTTCGTACCCGTTTCCCCACCCTCTGTCACTGAACTCATCCTATCCCTAAAACCAACCACCTGCTCCCTTGACCCCATCCCCACTCCACTCCTTATCTCCCAGCTCCACTTTCTTGCCCCACATATCACTGACATCATTAACCTGTCCCTCTCCTCTGGCTCTGTCCCCATTCCATTAAAAACTGCCATCATCACGCCCACCCTGAAAAAACCCTCCCTTGATGCGTCGCAGCTATCAAGCTACCGGCCCATCTCCAACCTCCCCTTTCTCTCCAAGGTCTTGGAAAGAGTTGTCGCCTCCCAACTGCGCTCTTTCCTTTCCACCCATTCTCTTTTCGAACCCCTTCAGTCAGGTTTCCGTGCTGCTCATAGCACAGAAACTGCCCTGGTCAAGGTCACCAATGATATCCTGACCATCTGTGACCAGGGCTCCCTCTGTCTCCTCGTCCTCCTCGACCTATCGGCAGCATTCGATACGGTCGACCACGCTATCCTACTCCACCGCTTGTCCTCCCACCTCAACCTTCAAGGCACTGTCCTTGAATGGTTTAGGTCGTACCTTTCTCACCGTCTTCACTTTGTCTCGACGAATGGCTTCTCCTCCACCCCCCGTACTGTCTCATGTGGTGTCCCTCAGGGCTCTGTCCTCGGTCCCCTCCTCTTCACCCTCTATATGCTCCCCCTCGTGACATCATCCGCAACATGGAGTTAACTTCCACATGTATGCGGATGACACCCAACTCTACCTTTCCTCCTCTACTCTCAACTCCACGACCACCGATGTCCTGACAGCCTGCCTGTCCGACATCGAGTCCTGGACGAGAGACAACTTTCTTCAGCTCAACGTGCGAAAAACCGAGGCCCTCCTGATTGGCTCACGTCAGCGCCTCCGCACCTCAGGCGCTGACACCATCAGCATCCAAGGCTGCACTCTCCACCTCTCAAAGCCAGTCAGGAACCTCGGCGTTTTGTTCGACCCTGAGCTGTCCTTTCTCCCTCACATCCGCACCACAACTGGCACCGCCTTCCATCACCTCCGGAATATCGCCAGACTACGGCACTACCTCACCCCTCACGCTGCTGAAACCCTGGTTCACGCCTTTGTCACCTCAAGGCTGGACTACGGGAACTCTCTCCTCGCCGGCCTTCCCGCCACCTCCCTCCACAAGCTGCAGGTCATTCAGAACTCTGCAGCTCGTGTACTGTCCCGCACCAGGCTTCGGGACCACATCACTCCCACCCTCGCTCGCCTCCACTGGCTCCCCATCCCCCAGAGGATTGATTTCAAGATCCTCATCCTCACCTACAAGGCCATTCACGGCCTTGCTCCCTCCTACCTCTCCAACCTACTATCCCCCTACCTACCTGCCCGTACCCTCCGTTCCTCTGGCTCCGGTCTGCTCCACGTCCCCCGCCCCAACCGCCCTACCATCGGTGGTCGGGCCTTCAGCCTCTCAGCCCCCAGGCTCTGGAACTCCATCCCCCAGTGCCTTCGCCTTGCCTCCTCCCTTTCCTCCTTCAAGGCCGGTCTCAAAACCTTTCTCTTTGACCGAGCCTTCAGCTCCCCTCTCGACTCTCTTCCCCCTCCTCGCTCCCTCCCTTCCCTCCCCTCACCCTGACCATTTCCCCCCAATGCTCGGGTCATGACCCAACTGTGCAGCGCCTTGGGACGGCTCCTGACGTGAAAGGCGCTTTATAAATGGAATCTTGTTGTTGTTGTTGTTGTTCTTACCAAGGTGTTATTACAAATTCAACATCACCTCCTCACTTTAATATTCTGTCTTCTGGAAATAAACCCCAGAACCCTATTGGTCTTATCTACCTGTGTAACTACTTTTAGAGACTTTTAGAGACTCCTCAACTCTTAGATGCTCACTATCTTGACTAGAGACAGCTTTGTATTTTTCCTGTCTGCTGATCCTACTAGCCTGTTTATGTCCTCTTGCATTCTTCTGCAATTCCCTTCACTGTTTACTGTGCTCCCCAGTTTGGTGTCATCTACAAATTTTGACACCAACCTCTCATACCTGAATCTAGAACATTTATTTCTGTATATATACATATATATATTCCTTTATCTATTCCATATGCCCCTATTTCAGTTGTGAGCCCTGCTGGGAAACAAACCTAGGTCTCTTGCTTTCGAGGCGAGTGCTTTAACCACTTTAACAGGACTCCACAAGTTCTGTTACTACTATTCTTTAAACATACATTGTTCTTAGTTTATGCAAAACTGCACCACAGACCAAGAGTATTAATGCAATCCATGAAACTGATATGTATAGTGGCTTCACAAAGTGTCAGTGTGCATGTAAATTTTGAAAAATGGACATGAAATTAAATTTGAAGTTGCAATTGCATGTGGTTTAAGTATCGTGCATTTTAGAAAATGTTCCTTTTTTCTGTGTCAGTTTCCATTTATTCTGGTAGGATCAGCTGCAGTTGATTTTACAATGTTGGAATTGGGTCTGGATTCAATGAGTTTAAAAGTCAAACTCATTTAGGATTTAAATTTGTTTAATAACGTTTTTGACTTTTGTGAATATTTAAAAAAAATCTAACTGTAATATTTGAAGAACAGTAAACTATTGATTTAAAATACAGAAGAAAAAATGTGCCCTGCAAAACAACTGAACTGTCATTTCATCAAGTGACAGTTGATTCAGTCAATTGATTACTAAATCTATTTTTTTTTCTCTCTTGCAGGTTGAGTCTACCCAGAGTATGATCAGAATCCTGGGTTTATCGGCAACCCTTCCCAATTACCTAGATGTAGCCACATTCCTTCATGTGAATCCCTTCATTGGTCTGTTTTTCTTTGATGGACGATTTCGACCTGTTCCTCTAAGCCAGACTTTCATAGGAATTAAAGGATCTAATAAGGTAAACAATAAGTTGTGGTTTTCTGTTATTCTACTACTGCATAAAATTTGTGTCTGTGTTATTTTTTCAACAGCTTTGCAGTAGCTCTCATGACTTATGGGTTTGAATTAGAACTAGGTGATGAGGTGAAGTAGAAGACTTTTTTTGCTAACTGTTAACTTCTGGAACCTGCAGTTAAATCCTGCTCAGTTTCATTTAATAGAAATCTTCATCACCAGCTGGATGGGTCATCAATGAAATAAGTTGATATAGATTTAGCTCTGTTTCTAATATAATGCTAAAGTATCCATAATTGTCACTGAGAGTGCAGCCTACAATGGACATGGGAATGCTTTAATTACAGAAAGTAGCATGAATGATTTGAGTATTACGCATATTGTTAATTGTTGTGGAGTCCTGTAGCTCAGTGGTTAGAGCACTCGCTTTGCAAGCGAGAAACCTGAGTTCAATTCCAGGCAGGGTGAAACCTTGGGCAAGTTTCCTTACTCCATACGCCTAATAATAATCCCTCCAAAGATCAAAAACAATAATAAATTGGTCATTTTCAATCTACGACTGTTTGTGGGGTATTGCTGTGCGCAATTGGCTGCCGCGTTCGCCCACAAATATACCGTCAATTCACTTTACAGTGTGTTCTGTGAAGCGCTTTGGGACGTCCTCCCGACGTGAAAAGCGCTATATCAAATGCAAGGATTATTATTATTATTATTAATGGTAAGAATCTTCACCCTGTATTTCAATTCAAAGTTCACTGGAATAAATTTAAACATATATGTATTGCAATGTTCGTGGGAATCAAACATATTGGGAAGGAGGCTGTCCTCGACTTTTTGAGAAAGTTCTATATTTCAGCTGATTAATAGCTGTGATAAACGTTGCTGAGATGCATGAACATTGACCATATTCATGGATCGAGTAAACCTCAATGAAAGTTGGCTTTCTGCACACTCCAAAAAGTTTTGAAGTAGAGTAAAACTTGTATATAGCTCCTTTCAAGTCAGTAGCATGTTTCAAAACGCTTGATACAGCTGTTGAGGAAGCTAAACTGTGTGTGGGGGATGGCGGGGGTGAGAGTGGAAACAGGAGTGAGTTGCGGGGGAGGAAGATGATCGGAAGTTTGGTCAAAGTTTTAAGGCAGAATTTAAAAAAGTGTAGCGAGGTAGTGAGGAGAAGGGTCTCCTGGAGTTTAAGAGAATGAGAGCATGTGGCTGAACACTTGCCCACCGATTGTGAGGTTGATCAGACAGGAGACATGAAGCAAGATGATATTCACTGAACAGACGGTTGCAGGATGGCACAGAGGTAGAGTGGGGCAAGGCTGTGGATTTAAATGTGGAGATGATTTTTTTTTAAAAAAAGCTACAACTCAAACAGCCAAAAAAAGGGACATTGACCCTTTAAAAAATATTGTGCTGTTGCAGTCACATGGCCATCTACACCCCTGCTATATAGGCCAAATTTTAGAAATGTAACTCGTTCTGTGTTTTTGTCCCCTTGGGAACTGTTCTCACTGTTATGACATCAGGACGGTTCACAAAACACTGTATTGATTGGTATGTACACATTTATTTCATGTCCTCTTATGATCTGTTTTGATAACTTTATTGCAAAATTTCAGCCATTGTCTTTTGGAGTTTTAAGCATGGTTCCAGCTTTGTAAAATTATAGGTATTGACTTCCAAAATCCTTCCCCTTTTTCACAAGCTAAGTTGGTTGGGTTTGTATTCACTTTAGTAGCTATTTCAATTGATTTATCTCTAGTTATAGTCACTCCACTCTAAAGAAGGATGACTGTTCATAGGTCAAACCATTCAACCCTAGTATCATCTTAGTAAATTGCCTCTGCACCCGCTCTCTGACAATGAGACTGAAGGAATTGGGCCTATGTTCATTAGAACAGTTAAGATCGAAGGGATACCTAGCTTTAAAATTATGATAGTGAGAAATTATAATAATAATGCTTAGATTTGATATGGCACCTTTCAAGTTGGGAAAAGTTTCAAAACTCTAACCCTTTGTAAATTGGATAGTTACAGTATATCTCAAGGAAACCTGATTCGAGCTGCCACTCTTGCCTTTATTTTCTAGGTCTACTCTAGCAATAACATGGACAGTTGCAGAGAATAGATTTTTTTCCCATAGTCACATAATTTTCTCTTTTTCATATGCAAGATACACTCTAGAACAATCCTTTCTCTTTTTTATATATAAAATACATTTGGTGATTTGGGTTTATTGGTTTTGGGGGTCTGTGTGTAGACTTGTTCCTCACACTGAATTGTCTTACTATAAATGATAGTTTTCAATCTTTGCTCTTCTCCCTCCCTAAGGAACAACAAGATGTCTAATTTCATAAAAATAATGAATTCAGTTGGAAAATAATAAGTCAATCATATGATTTAATTGTTCCATGAAAGATTCCCAATCACATTGGATGAAATATTAGCTCAACAGATTTTGTCTATGTTGTAACAGAGTGTTGCAAAGAAAGGATGTAAAGTACCCACTCCAAAAAAGATGGCCCAAATAGAGCAGGTTCAATGAGAAGCCATGGCATATATTGTGTTGAGCTGTTTTACCACAGGTTAATCTGACAAAATTGCTCCCTCAAACAGTTTACATTAATTCAGGTGCTTTGCTGTTCAAGTAAAATGATTTTCCATTGCAACTCCAGTTATTCAATTCTCAAAACATTATGGCAGAAATTAATATCCCTGTGGTAAATTCAAATTTAGAATGAATGAAATGCAGTGTCTGCAGCTTATCTTTACACAGCATTATCAAAAGAACTAAAGCTTATCCTGATTAGTTTTTTCTGAACTCTTCACACTTTAAAAGGTTTTTGGGACAAATTGTTTCCTACTTATTTGGGCAAAACTTCTACTTGCGCATTTTCAAACAGCTGAGTTGCGAAGCACAAAGACTGTTGTGTGCCTCAATCCATTTTCCCCTAATCCATAAAAGAAATGCACATATGATAGGAAAATAAAACTAAATAAAGCAATCCTTGCATTTGGTACATCGCCTTTCATATCTGGAGGGCAACCCAAAGCACTTCATGAGAATTTACTGTAAAGCATTGTGGTTGTTCATTCTTGCAGAAGAGCAAAGTAGCTCCACGTATTGATGTATAATAATAATAATCTTACATTTTATGTAGTGATTTATCACGTCTTAGAGCGCTTAATACTGTAAAGTAATATAATTTACAATATATTCTGTGGAGCGTTTTGAGACGTCTCAAAGACGTGATAAGGCGCTATATCAAGTGCAAGGCTTATTTATTATACTGTAAAGTGAATTGACTGTATATTTTGTAGGCGAAACACAGCAACCATTAGCACACTGCAGTGTCCCACAAACAGTCATGGATTGAGTGATTTATTATTTATCTTTTTTTCATTTTTATTAAGGGATTATTACCCCTGGAAAAGCAATTTGCCAATCGACTGATAAACGGGTTCCTATTTAATGTTAGGTAAACAGAGGCGCATGGAGTAAGAAAAGTTGCCCTGACTAGGATCGAATTCTGGTCGTGTCTCTTGCGATGCAAGTGCTCTAACAACTAAGCTACAGAACTCCACTTTTTCAAAAAAAAATCATTTTCTTGTTTGACCAAGTTTTCTTTCAATTGGGAGGGAGTTAATTTTGTTGCACTCGTAGCCTAAAATCAGGCAAAATGCGTACAACAGATGAAAAAATTAAATTGGTAATCCAACAGTTTAGAAGTTTGTAAATTTAGCATTTTTCACTATTCAATCAATAGCTACAGCTGTTGTGTACAGACTCCTAAATAACTCAACAGCGAGATGCACTCTGAGGTGTGGTAATGATCCATACAATCTACAAAGATTGCAGTCTACTGCAATATGCCATATTCTTCATTCATGTCAGTTGTTCCGATGTCAACATTACAACTGTTGGTGGGGAAATAGCTTAATCTGTCCTTTCCCTTTTTGGTGTGTTGGTAAATAACTGGTACCATCTGTTGATTCAGATTGATTGCCCCATCTCCAACCTCCCTTTCCAAGATTCTGGAATGAGTCATTGCTTCCCAGCTTTGCTCTTTCCTCTCCTGCCACTCCCTTCACGAACCCCTTGAATCGGGTTTCCGTGCTGCCCACAGCACAGAAACAGCTTTGGTCAATGTGACAAATGACAATTTGTCCATCTGCAGCCAAGGCTCCCTCTGCCTCTTCACCCTCCTTGACCTCTCTGCTGCCTTTGACATCATTGATCATCCACCGCCTCTCCTCTCACCTCAACCTTCATAGTTCTGTTTTTGAATGGTTCAGATTGTACCTCTCATACCGTCTCCACTTCATTTCCACAAACGGCTTCTCCTCTAGCCCCACACCGTCTCGTGCGGCGTTCCTCAGGGCTGTGTCCTTGGTCCCCTCCTCTTCAATATCTATATGCTCCCTCTTGGTGACATCATCCGCAGACATGGGTCAACGTCCGCATGTATACCAATGACACCCAACTCTATCTCTCTGCCTCCACCCTTGACTCCAGGATCACTGCTATCCTGATAGAATGTCTATCAGACATCAAGTTCTAGATGAGAGCTAACTTTCTACAGCTGAACGTCAACAAGATCGAGGGTTTCCTGATTGGCTCCTGTCAGTGGCTCCGCACCTCAGGCATTGACAGCATCACCATCCAAGGATGCACACTCCACCTTACCGAGCCAGTCCTATTTGACCGTCAACTCTTCTTCTCTCCTTTCTACCCCATGTCCGTGCCATGATCCTCTTTGCCTTCCACCACCTCCGCAACATCACCCGGCTTCACCACTGTCTCACACCACAGGCTACCGAGACCCTCATACACACATTCAAAACATCCAGGCTCGACAACGCAAACTCCCTGCTTGTCAGCTTCCCCAACTCCTCCCTCTATAGGCTGCAGATCATCCAGAACACTGCAGCCCATGTCCTCTCCCACACCAGGCTCCGTGATCTTATCATTCCTAACCTCGCCTGACTCCCCCCAGCCCTCAATCCTCCCCGATCCCCATCTCAGGTCCAAAACACTGATTGTTCAGTGTCTTGGGACTTCCTCCTGACATGAAAGGTGCTATACAAATGTGATTTTGTTGTTGTTTCTATTTCTATATAAGTCTAGCACAAAAGAACAGCTCTCACGAGGGAGTACTGAAAACACTTAAGTTTTTTTTGGTTAACTTGAAACTTAGCTTGTAATACCCTTTCTCTTCATGGTCTTCACCCTTGCATCTCAGCTGATAATTAAATCTCATTATGGGAATAGCTCACTTACATTATTCGCAATTCCAAAAGTACTTATCTCGAGCGAAAGCCATGTTGACACACCTGTGCTTCAACTTGGCTTTCTCTGTTATTTCATTTGTTCTGCTTCTGAGGTTTCCATGCAATCTTGCTATTATTTTTAGGTTACGGATCTGTCTTTTGAAATTGCCTCATTTGGCAGCATTTTCCATTACATTCTAACCAGTTTTTACATCTGCTCATTCGGTTGCTTGCTTCTTTGTTCTGTGAATGTCAGTGTTCCTGGAGGCTAACGGATTCAATATTGCCTCTAATCTGTAGCTAAGTTTGCATTTATGGTATGTGAAAGGCACCTCTGCAGGACACAACTTTCTTCAGAAATTTTCAAATTCCTTATCTTTCTGTCTTTAGAGTTAAAGTACTTAATGTTTCATATCACAGGTTAGCAATCTAATCCTAGGTTTCTCTCCACACGTTGTTTAATTGGACTTTGGAGAGGGCAACCGGAGAGTGGTGGGGGACAAAATCATCAATTGGTTCCCTTCTACCCTTCCTGCATAAAGCCAAGGTTTGGTGTCTTTCCAATGACTTGGATGAGACATGTTATCCATATTATTATTTCTACATCAATGACTCTCTACGAGTCAATTTAATGAAAGTACTGGATGCAGGTATACAAATTTTGTTCAAAGACTAAGATATTTTAGTTTTACTATTCCAATTCCTGTATCATTAGCACCATCGATGGTCGTGCCTTCAGTCTCTCTGCCCCCACTCTTTCGAACTCCATCCCACATTCCTTTTGCCTTGCTCCCTCCCTTCCCTTCAAAGCGTTTCTCAAAACCCTCCTGTTCGACCATGCCTTCAGCCAATCTCCCTGCCTTCCACCATCCCGATTCCCGACCTCCAACTTGGGTCCAAATTCCTGACTGTCCAGCACCTCGTCCTCCCGACATGAAAGGCACTATGTACAAATTAAATATTATACTGTGTTAGTACATATTACATTTCTGTTTTCTTCCATTCTTCTCTCATAAGTTAAACCTATCCATCGACCCTGCACAAAATTGGCTTCCAAGATGATCTCTATTCTTTCTTCACTCTTGCATCTCTCCACAAAAATGTTTTAATCCCTATATTTATAGTTTTGACAGTATATTGTTTGCAAATTGAGAAACAAGTTTGCGAACATTGCCAGCATGTGGATGCGTGTGAGACTGGAAAATTCCACACTAGCCCCAGCGCAAAAGGGACTGTATTTCCTCAATTGATTTTTAAAAGGATTTTTAAAAGGAGGCAAATAACATTGAGAATGATTCTCCACCTGTTGGAAGTGCACCCCGAAAGATTAATGAGTTTATCAAGAAAGGGAGAATGCTCATTGCATCAAATGGAAGCTGTACTTGTCCTCTGGTTGCTCTTACAGGGCAAAGTGAGAAAAGCTATTCATTACCTAGCCCTGTAGCCCCTGATCTTGATGATTACATATGTCATATCATTTCAAGCATATAGCATTATCCTTACAATGAATTTTGTATTCTTGCTTATCTAGATGCAGCAATTACATGATATGGAGGAGGTTTGTTATGACAAGGTTGTGGAGCAACTAAAGGGAGGACATCAGGTAAATTGCACTTTTCAAACAATAAACATTTTAGCTTTAATCAACGTTGAATATTGATGAATAAATTGTATTTACCTGTGAAAATCTCAAAAAAATTATTAAAATACTTAAAGTACTATATAATAATAATAATAATCCTTGCATTTGTATAGAGCTTTTCACGTTTTCTAGACATCTCAAAGCGCTTCACAGAATAGACTGAAAAGTGAATTGACCGTATATTTGTGGGCGAAACACGGCAGCCAATTGGGCACAACAGTGTCCCACAAGCAGTCAAGGATTGAAAATGACCATTTTATTGTTTTTGTTTTGGATGCATTATTATTAGACGTGTGGAGTAAGAAAACTTGCCCAAGGTTTCACCCTGAAGAAATATAATTTATTTTTATGATTTGCTTTTTCTGTCACTCTTCTTGTTTTGCCTCTATTCTCTCCACTAACTGCAGTGCAATTTTATGTGTTTTCATGTATAATGCAATATTACTGTGTTTATAATTTAAAATTCATTACAATTATTAACAAGTGACATATTTGCTAAACTTTGTAGTCAAAGCAGAACAACTCAGAGCACACACCATTAAGTTGTTTGTGGTTAGCAAACCAGGCATTGTAATCCTATGGTTTTATTTAGAGGACATTGTAATCTAATAAATATTTTGTGCTTGGCTACTGTTTTATAAGATCATTGTGGTGATATTTAGTATTGGAATAATTCCAGAATCTTTTTGCACGTTACATCTGCTGTTTAATATATAGGACTGTTATTGCAGTGGCAAATTCATTTGTGGATTTGGAGTTAGGGGTTGCAGTTGCACTTTAAATGATAAATACAATCATATTGCATTATAAATGTAAAACTAATTTGCAGTTAAGTGAATCCAGATTGAAGTCAAGTTCCTGGTGGGAGAAAAGAATGGCAGGAATGATAATTGCTTCAATAGAAATTTCTTCATTTGCATTTGACTTGCGTATATGGTAGTTTTACTTGAAATTCTGTACCGATGAAATAAACACAAGATGTTGAAGAGCAAGTAGGTACTTTGTAAACTGGTTATCAATGTACGGATTGGGCTCTAAATCTGAGTCAACCTTCTTGTAAATACCTATTTCATTTGATAAGAGAATCTTTTAAAAATATAAGTGTGATAATCCTTGCACTTTACCCTTTTTGCCCCTTTTAATGTAGCTATGCCAAACACCTTTACTACAAAGCTACNAAAAATATTTTTTATCTTGCAGCAAAAATGCAGGTAGCATTTAACATGGCTTTAGAGCAGTGGAAGCTGGCAGCACTGAGACTTACTACTGGAACTGAAAATCTCTAAGAACAAAAACACATTTATAAACAGACTGACCACTAACCAGCATCCAAGTAGTGTGACATTTGTCATGTCCATGAAGTCATAACTATCGTTTTGACTTATGACACACAGGAGATCCATCAAACTATCTGGGAGTTTTCTGACATAAAAATTCATAACGTTTTGATGCTAGTTGGTATGAACAAACATCCTCCAAATGGTCCTGTACTGTTTTCTGCTACATTAGATTGTCAGTATAAAAGGTATATTTTACATCAAGTATATAGTGTTGCTGGCATATTACATCCCTATGGATTCAAGAGTTCAGGTTTGAAGTGATTTGTCAGCCTTTTGCTTTTGGGTATTTTCTCTTCATTTGAATACCATATGTTGCAACTAAAAGCAGTCAAAAAAATTGTTTAAATCTTGTCTTTTTGGTCCGACCACTATTGCTATCACTGAATTATACCCATTTAATCTTGTGTATATATAGCACTGGGTTTGTCCAGTATGTTTGTAGTCCCTACGTTCTTCTACAATTGGGAAATAAGTTGTATGTTTTCGAAATAAATTAATTCCAGAGAATCACTACTAAAATCCCAGATGCTTTAAAACCAAATAATGCAATGCCTTTATTGACTTCCAGTTTATTTGATTGAGTTTAATTCATAGTATTCCTGTGTTATTGGATAATTTAGGACACCAACCACAAAGCAATTTTGCATTTTAAATGAAACTCATAATGCTGTTTTTATCCTCGGTGTTTCAATTTGGAAAGTCATCAGCATGGATTAGTTTTACAAATCCTACTTTAAATACAATAGGTTTGATCACTTGTAATATCGATTTATTACATGCAAACAGTAATTAGACTCCACAAATGAGAATAATGAATTAAAATGTGCTAAATTGAGAATAGAAGCTATTAAGCTGCTGATGGGATGTGAATTGTATCATATTTCAATGAAAATTGTGTTCTTAAACTAAATACGCAATCCTATAGATATCAATGTAAAATTAAGTAATATGTATATACCTATATTTTTTTAAAAAATATTTTGCCTCCTGATGACTGAACAAACTTTGAGCCAGCTGATCTCTGTATGGCACTGGATGTGCCAACATAATATTAGGTTAAGGGGTAATTAGTCAGATTCCTTGTTCCTCGTCAATATCCAGTGACCTCTTATGATAAAGGCTCATACATAAAAAGTAGCCACTTGGATGAGGTGCCAAAGGAAGACTGGTGTCTGTGGAAGTGCTCCGCAGGGTGATTTATGTGTAGTGACACTGTATTTGTAAGCGAAGTCAGCAGCTAATTTTCTTTTAGCAATGGAATCCTCCTCTGTTTTTTTCAGAGGAGCAAATAAAAAAAGTAGTTAAACAGTAGGACGTAAAAGGGTAATTTGCACTTCAAATTTAAATTGAAAGCAAGAACCATACCAGTGAAACAAGCTAAATATTAAGTTGTATCTTTTCTTGTCTGACCAGATGTGGCTTGACCACACCAACCTTTAGCAGCTTTCCCTTTTTGTGGGCAGATCCTCCTGTTTGTCCTGGATCAATGTGAAGGACAAGGGAATCTCCTATTCTTCCCCACGTTTTTCCAATGTTCTTCTAGTCTGTCTCCTTAATTGCATTCACAGGAAGCTTCAACATATTCAGAGCTCTGTAGCCTCTTCGGAATTCTCTACACATTTTAATTCACAACCTTTGTTCTTCCAAGTCCACTCCAAATAACAAAGACAGCACAGGAATTGAATCAGGGAAATTCTTAGTCTTCATGGTTCAAGATCATAACATAACATGTAGGAGCAGAGGAGGCCATTCGGCCCTTTGAGCCTGCCCCGCCATTCAATCATGGCTGATCTTCTAATCGAACTCCAGCTAATAACCTGACCCTGCCTTACCCCCATATCCCTTAATCCCTTTTGCAATAAGAAATCTATCTATCTCAGTCTTGAATATGTTCAAAGACTGAGTGTCAACAGCCCTTTGGGGTAGTGAGTTCCATACATTCACTAACCTTTGAGTGAAGAAGTTCTTCCTCAACTCAGTGCGAAAGGGTTGGCCCCTGATTTTAAGGTTGTGACCCCTGGTTTTAGTTTCTCCAACCAGGGGAAACAATCTCCCACTATCTACTCTATCATGCCCTTTGATGATCTTATAGGTTTCTATAAGATCCCCTCTAATTCTTCTATATTCTAGAGAATATAAGCCCAAATTGGTCAGCCTATCCTCGTAACTCAATCCTTTCATCCCTGGTACTAACCTAGTAAATCTACGCTGCACCCCCTCCAAGGCAAGTACATCCTTCCTTAAATGAGGAGACCAAAACTGGACACAGTATTCCAGGTGTGGTCTCACCAGGGCCCTATACAGTTGCATAATATTTGTTGCACTTAACACACTGAAAACTTTGCTGGCAATACTAATACTGGCAGGAATGTCTGCTTATAAATTAGCAGATATTTAAAAACATTGGGCTGGATGAGATAATTCAAGTCATTTGTAGTTGCTCTACACTTAATTTGTGTTCTACTGTGGGCTATTTGAATTTCTCCTGTCAATTTAGATCTTTGCTGCATTGAACAAAAAAGGTTAAAAAGAACCTTTAAAATTATAATCTGTTTTCTTTCTAAGTACTTTATTTCGTACTTTAAGTGAAATCTATGTTAAATCTGAACTGAACTAGCTCATACTCTCTGAAGCAGCAGTGTCAGGTCTCTGTGCAATTTATTTGAGAATAGGGAAACAGAATCACAGCCATCACACTGCCAAATTTTTAATTTTGAGAATGTCGTAAAACCACATCACTAAATATGTTTGAGCATTTTTGTCTAGTAAGTTTCAACCATTCAATGTCCCCCCACCCCACTCCCCCATGGATTTTGGCCCCAGATTCCACCTCGGGAAGTATGCCAGACAGTGTTTGCAATAGTAAGCTGCGTGAGTTTAACTAGTTAAACTCCAGCAGTTCTGCACTGCACATTCAAGCTTTGGGGTACTCAAGCTTTAGTTTCTGCCAATTTGCACCTATTTACAGCATTGGGTAAGTTGGGTGCGTTCCTCTGGGGAGAAAATGGTACATTCCATTCTACTATACGGAGGTGGAATCCATACAAAGGTGGAATTCGTAGATGGCATGCATATGTAGAACTCTCTAGTTTGGATACTTTTAAGCATGGTGATGGATTTCTGCAAGTGTGAGATGCTCGACTCACCAAATGTTTAAAAAAAATGTTAGGTCCATACAAAGTTTGCCAAATAAATCCGTAAGTCCATTCTCTAGAACTCAACTGAATCCAAGAAAAAACTACATTTTTTTCTATTCATTAAGAGTTGACGTATTGTTTTTTGATCAGTGTAATCCATTTAATTATTCCTATTGTTAATGAATCTGTCCATTTTACTCCTTTCCGCAGTTCATATAGTGGACATAAAGATCAATGTGGTACTTGATCAGCATTTACAGATCTATAAGCTTCTTTATCCTTGATTAATTGATTGGAGTATACTTCCAATCAATATTTGGAGATGCATCAAAAACTGCTGATTATAGATGTCACGTCTTCTTTGCTCTACTATTCATCAATTTCTAAGCATCATAAAGCAACCTCTGAAAAATGTCTCCTTTTAGGAGAGTTCAAAGCACCAACATTAGTAGTTGCGTTCAAAAATATTTTCTTGAGAAAACCA